GGCTATTAAACCCTATATCCCTTTTTTATATTTCATTTTAGTTTATTTTTAGTTTTTAAATTTTGTTAAAGAAAATATGTTTTTTTCACTTTGATATATTTTTTAAATGTGACGACAGTAACACATTGTTACGATTATTTTTCTCACAATGTTTATTAGTTCACACATTTACAATTCTGTTTGCTGCAGAGACAAAAAAAGGACACCCTGGCGCTTATGGGGTTCTTATTTCTTAGCATTTCCCATCGTTTCCCGGCAACCAAACAGCTTTTACTACTCAGTAGCAGGGTAGCTTAGAGCACTTGTATTTTCCTGGGCCAGCCACCTGTCAGGTAATTTTCTCCCCAATACGTTTGAGTTACTTTTTTAGGATTGATTCCAAAATCAAATCCGGTTCAGTCATTTAAAAATATTTTTCAAACGACACTACAAATGAGCAATTATACACAATAAATAAAACAAACTTCTGTTCACATGACAAGGAAACTTAAACGAAATCATATCCCTAATTAAATAAAATCTCTAAAATATTTTCTAATACCCTGGTGGTTAGGGCTTTCTCTTTAACCCGCTGTGTTACATGTCTAAACCCCCTTAGTTTAAATTAAAATAGTAATATCGCTTGTAATCAAATGAATATTTTGTGTAAAAAATGATCAGGTTTCAAATGGGTACGGTATCGAAGCATCAAGCAGGAGTAAAAGATAGGATCAGTGAATTACCAGTGTCCCTTCTTTGTTACATAGTTTCCTTCATTCCAACAACGTGGGCTGTGAGGACCACTGTTTTGTCCAAGAGATGGAAGAACAGATGGACTTTACTCATTACCAATCTAGACTTTGAAGATAGCAGAGAATTCGAAACTGATAACAAGGTTTCATGAATTTTGTCGACCGTGTGTTTTTCTTGCGTGACTCATTAGACATCAAGAAGTTCCGTCTGGCAATATCGTATTCCAATGATTTCTCTCGTATTGATGCTTGGATTTGCATTGCCGTTATGCGTAATGTTGTTGAACTTGATCTTGATCTTCGTGATGTAAGTGATGGAGGAGAGGCTGATTTTGAGATGCCTAAACACTTGCAATTTTGAGAGTGTCTTCAAATGTTATTTCCTACGATCCTCCTACATCAGGGTGTTTCCCTGGTCTCAAGTTCCTTCATGTTAGTGCGGATAATCCTTATGAGAAGTCAATGGAAAAGCTCTTCTCCTGTTGCCCTGTACTTGAAAATTTGAGTACTGAAAACATTGAAATATCCATGGATGACGACTATGAGAACGAGAACATCTTTTATATTGATGCCCCACAGCTTGCTAATTTTCATCTCAAGGGGGCTGATTTGTCAAGTTATTCTTTGAAGAATTCAAAATCCATAGTCAATGCCAGTGTTGCTTTTGCAAACAAATTGCCTTTGTTTCCCAAGCGTGCAATTTCATTTCTGGGTGGCATTTTGTTTCCCGAGCGTGCAATTTCACTTCTGGCTGGAATTTCCAAAGTTAAGTATCTGTCTCTTTTGGCACATTCTTTGGATGTAAGCACACCACTCTTGCTTTTATTCTAGCTTCGGTACAGAAGATTATTTGAGGGAAGAGACGCATCTCATGCATCTCTCAATTTTCATTTGTCTTAAACTGTTTCTTGTTATTCTTCTCTGTTCTTCATGTTAAATTCCTCAAATTATGCTCATCAGCATTCAGCACTCATCATGCCTCATCATAACTGTATTGCTGATCTATTTTTTGATTAATTTCATTATTTTCTCTCTTAAATTTTATTGTTTGGTTTTGGTAAGCTACCTTGTTTCATTGGTTTATATGAATATTAGACTCTGCCCCCTTGAATACTCACCTGAATTTTCACCGTATTCCGTTGAATTATTCCCCATTCTTAGAATTAACACTTGACATTCATCATGTGGTTCTTATATTTGGATTAATATATTATGTTTAAGGAAACTTTCAATGTTTGCATGATGTTCTGTTTGATTAATACTTTGTATCTTTCATATGGGTCCGGTATCTCCCTTTTTTCGTTAACTTGACCAAATTGAAGTGGGTTCTTCATGAGTGTAAGTACTGGAAATTGTTAGTAAGGCTGCTCTACAGAGCACGGAATCTGGAAGATCTTGCATTGGAAGTTGTAAGTAAAATCTATTCACTTGTTCTACGCTCCACCAAGATGCAGCAGCTCATAAAGTCAATTCTCATTTCATTTATTCTTTTATTGTCAGGAAACTTATTCTGAGGAAGAATATTCAGAGGTATGGGAGCCGCCAAAGTTTCAGCCTATTTGTTTGTCTTCGCATCTCAAGACTATCTCCATTACCGGATTCAAGGGATGGCCGGTTGAGAGGGAAGCAGCAAAGTATTTGTTGAGGAATGGCCATCTTTTGAATAAGATGACAATTTATACACATAGACACCTTATCTGCAAGAAAGAGGAATTATTGAAGGAGTTTTTGTTGTTTCATAGGGCAATGACTTGTCAAGTTGAGTTTATTTAGATGGAAGTGTAGGATTATGCCGTGGAGTTTGTAAAAGCACATTGGCAGGCAACCTATTTCCAATCTTTTTGCGTTCGATTTAAGAATTGAATCTCTTTAGATTCGTTTGACTAGTGAGATTTGATTAATCCTGGTGATATCCCTATGCAGAAAGGGACACTGTAGAACCCACATTTTATTCTACTTCAATGAATAGAACCGTCTAATCTTTATGTCTTCTCACCAAGATCATACTATTTATGTTCAGAATGAATGTTTTGTCATTTTACTATTACTTGAAATACTATGTTCATCTATTTTCTTGTTACAACTAGATGTTGTAGTGATTTTGAATGTCTCTAGGTTTGACAGTGCCTACATTCTAATGGTATTTCTGTTTACTTTATATTCGAATCTCAACAATAGTGAGTTTGCAACTAATTCATTCCCCATCCCCTTAGTGTAAATATATCGTTGTATAAAAAAAAATTCTTAGAAGGACAGGAGACGACCAAACGTTGCATCCATGTTCGGCAAGACGCGAATGAATGCGCAAGCATAGCTTTCGCCAACCAATGTATATCACGCATACGGAAACTTTAAATTTCTGCATGAGTTTGTTTGATCAATACTTGTTTCTTTCACCAAGGCTTGGCATCTTCCCGCTTTTGGTAATCTGACGCAATTGAAGCTTGTTCTTTGTGATTTCAACGACTGGGATTTGCTGGCAGTGCTTAAATCTTTTACTGTCAGGATACCAAATACAGTAAGAAGTTTCCAAAGCTTCAATGGAACCAACCAACGAACGTGCCTACGTGTTTGTTGTCACACCTCAAGACTCTGTCCATAAAGGGACTCAAGGGACGGCGGGTTGATATGGAGGTGGCAAAGTATTTGTTACACAACGGTTGTCTTTTAAGTAAGAAGACAATATATGCAGATAGAAGTGTTTGATACCAGAAGGAGGAGTTATACAAGAAAATTTTGATGTTTCATAGGACAAGTAGGACTTGTCAGGTTGAGTTTATAGAGAAGAAAGCTTCAAAAGTTGTTGTTTAGGATTTACTGAGATTTGGGTTTAACTCTGTTTATTTACTAAGATTTGATGGTAATTATTTGCTTATCTTTTGTGTTGGATTAATGACTGAACTCTTTCTTTACTCCAGAGAGTTTGGTTATGTTTGGACAAAGGACTTTCAAATTCTTGAATTCTAAAGTATTTGATACAAAGTTAATAAGTGATAGATTACAAAATGTTAGATCAAAGAGATTAAAAATGCAGTTCGCTAGCATTACAAAGATATGTGGGAGATATTTTCAAATCTCTACTTAGAAGGTGTCATTTATGGATCCCTCTTAGATACCTCTTAATAATGCAGTTCTATTCCCTTATGTCAAGGGAGAAGACACCTTGGTGCACAAGGCTTGTGTCACGGATAGTTGGATACGACATTGCAACTAAATTATAATCGTGTATATGACATTGTACTGTTTTAAAAATGAGGTATAAAAGTGGAAAATACTTAAAGGGTTTAAAATGTAATTGCGCTATAAACATAAGATACCGTAATGTACCATTCTACATGTTATATATAATAAAGGTGGATAACAAATCGATATGTCCCACTTCGTATTAATAGAAAAACAAATCCATGTATTATCAATTACATCAAATAAAGGTTTCTTCATGTTCTTCTTTTGGGGCTAACTTTATCATCGTTGAATTTAATGTTATAATATGAGCATAAGTCTAGCTATATTTCCGCTAAATGTTTGAGTTCAAATTGGTTTGGAACAGTCTTATATATAAAGGATTACAAGTTATAATTCGCATTGAATTGGGTAGCGTATAAATTGGTTTTTACCACATATTTTGTAATCCGTATAATAAGCGACATTCGTATATTGATATAATTATATATACTAGTATTTGCCTACACACTTTGTGTGTATGAACACATTGTTTTAGAAAATGAGAAGGGGAGAGAGAGAACGTGGGTGGAATGAGAGGTTTTTGTTTTTGGTTTTATTTATTTATTTATTTATTTTTAATATTGAAGGTATTTTAACATCACTTGTAGGTGAGGCTTTAATAAAAAATAGTAAAATTTGGACATGTGAAATTACATTATTGCCCATCATTTTTTTGTGTGATAGAAGACTAATTTGTCTTTTCACCCTATTTTGGTTGACAAAGAGGGACCAAGATCCTTTCTTGAGCAAAGGGAGAGGATCCTCCTGACCAAGCTCATCGAGCCGTTGAAATTTTATCTAATGACTATAATTATTATAACTTTTAGAACGGTCCCTGTTTGTAGTCATTAGATAAAATTTCAACGGCCTGATGGGCTTGATCAGGAGGATCCTCACCTTTTGTTTAGGAGAGGATCCTGATCTGACAAAAAGGGTTTCATTAATTAGTAGAGATAAAGATGGCCCTTAAACCCTTACATAATTCTCTTGTTATCCTCTTGCTTTTCGCCGCTTTTGTACTCCCAAAGACGACCCTCTGCGACAATGGAAAAGAGCAGTCCCGTAAGCCATGCAAGACAAGTAACTCAAGTTGGGGAGTCTTCCAACTCCATGAAAGTCGACGGTGATCAGAAGGATTTTGTTTGTGAAATATGCGTCGAGTCCAAGGCTGCATCCGAGTCGTTTGGCATTAAAAGTTGCAGGCATTCATTTTGTACGGACTGCATGATCAAATACGTGTGCTCCAAGCTTCAAGAGAACGTCACAACCATCGGTTGCCCTAATCCTGACTGTGCGTTGGGAACACTAGAGCCCGAGCACTGTCGTTCGATCCTACCCGCCAAGGTGTTTGAAAGGTGGGGTACTGCATTGTGTGAGGCTGTGATTCCTGCCTCTCAAAAGTTTTACTGTCCCTTCAAGAATTGCTCCCTAATGTTAATTATTGATCATGACGAGAACGAGGTTGTGAGACAATCGGAGTGCCCTAATTGTAAGAGATGCTTCTGTGCGCAATGTCTGGCTCCTTGGCACGTTGGGATCGACTGCGCTGAGTTTCAGAAATTGAATAAGGATGAGAGGGAAGCTGAAGCTATCATGCTGAGGAACCTCGTTAACAAGAAAAATTGGAGGAGATGTCCCAACTGTAGGTTCTACGTGGAACGAACGGAGGGTTGCAATCTCATGGTGTGCAGGTCAGTTTTGTACTAGCTTTTTGTCTAGTGGCTCTTAAAATTACTCCATACAGTACCGTTTCAAAATTTTTATTACAGTGGCCTATCAATTTCTATTTACTGTGGATTGATTGCAGGTGCGGAAGTTATTTCTGCTACAGATGCGGTAAAGTTTATTTGGAATGCAGGTGTGGAGTTAATGCTTGTTGCATTCCTCTGCTGTCCTGTTTGTGTTGTTTGCGTTGGAGGCGCCGGCAGTGAGACGGTTTATTCCTCCAGTAGAGGCAAAACAAGCAGATCCGCCTCCATTGCTTGTAATATTGGCAGCTTTGACAGCCCACCTCAGCTGACACTTGACATGTTCTACAGTCTTTGGTTATTAGAGATACTTGAGTTTTTTTATTGTTCTTTTTGGATGAATGCATGAGCGAGTTTTTTAGAGTGCCAAAAGTTGTTTGAGCCAACACAAATTTGGGTTCGAGCTCGTTGGAATTTTACATACTTCTTGTCAATGTTGAACATGTTTAAAGTCATCGATCAAGTTCATCCTCCCAATGTTTACATACTTTTTTTCTGATCAGTGAAGGTGTGTTTGTACTGCGTCTAGCTAGCAATGTTTAGTGATTTTGCCTCATTTCCAACAATGGCTTTGTTGTGGTCTTGCTTGATGGAGATGACACCGCGTATGTCTCAAGATAGGTCTGTAGCGTTATACGCCATCTTTGTGACAGATTTGTTCTGGTGGTACTTATGCTTGTACGATAGTGATTGTGTTTGTGGTAACCATTTAGGGGATTATCTATTACGTTTGTTTGTGCAAATGATCTCCATATTAACTAATAGATTGCTCATTAGAGAAAATATACAGATGTTGCCGATTAGCGGGGGCGGGCAGGGGGGCGTTGCCATAGCCGGTGACTCCTCAAGGGCAAAGAAAGTGTCTCACAGGCTTTCATACGTCTTTCGAGGCCAATACGCTTAGGTCGTTCTTTCGTTTGAAGGGCCCTCGAAGCCTTTCAAAGTTTGTTACTAGAGGCATTGATCTTCATCAGAGTTTTTCAGATTTGATCCATGGTAAGGGTAGCTTCGCCAACGGGAGTGTCGTCGTGTCGTGGAGCGACAGAGACGCATGGGTGTTGGTCTGAGGTAGACATGATGTGGTGGAGTGATTTGGTCAGGGTAATATGAGTTCACTATCAATGAAACTGAAAGCACCAATTATTGGAGCTAAATTCGCGCACCACTGTATGTGGAGGAGATGCACAAACTCAACCACATACAAAAGACTAAGTGATCGTAAGATCACCTGGACACCAGTGGGGTACCGGCCAAAGGCTCTTAGAAAGTCAAGTTAATAAGCAATTTATGGGACTTAAATAGTGGGTAAGAGAATAAAGTATGTGATAATTGTGTTATCAGAGATAAACCTTAGAAATGAGTATTTATACTAGTCGAAAGAGACTCCTTTTACTATATAGAATTCGTATCAAAACAATGAGAATCCAAAAAGATATCACGGAGTAGATATTGCATCCTATAAAAAGTGTGATTACTTACCGCACGACAATCCCTAGATTGTAGAAATCTTCAAGAATATAGAAAACTTGTTTGATCCCCAATCGGATTAGTTTCCGTATACTAACATGCTTGTCTTAAAGTCACTTCCCACTTTCCTAATTCTTTTACCGTCAGAAAACAAAATGTGATGAAGAATGTTCAGAGCTTCGATGGAACCAACAAGCGGGTCGTGCCTATTTGTTTGTTGTCACATCTCAAGACTATCTCCATGCAGGGATTCAAGGGACGCCGGGTTGAGATGGAAGTGGCTAAGTAGTTGTTAGAGAATGGTAATCTTTTAAACAGGGTGATACTTTATGCCTGTGAATTGGAGCGGAGCTGGTGCAAGAAACAGGAGTTATACAAAGAGTTTTTGATGTTCCATCGGGCGAGGACTTGTAGAGTCGAGTTTATCGATATGTAAATTTAGGTCTTACAAGTTCAACGTTTGGTTTTAGAATGATTAATTCATGATTATGTTATCAAACTTGTAAAAGAATTGCAGTTGGTTGTGTTTGATTTGCGTGATTAAATCTCTTCAGCTTCAGTATCTCTACGAAAATTTGATTAATATATCGCGACATGCGCTTGTCTATTACGGTATTCACTCATACATTTTAGTTCATACATTAAATCATTGAAATAGAATGTAGAATTAATGAACACAATGTTAATCTAAACCACATGAGGGGTTGATAAAAGAAAAACCTACATATCCAAAGAGCACGTTGTTCTAGCCAACTTGGGGTGATAAGCTCTCGGTTTGACATTTGGGTGATGTATTGAAACGATGTGTAAAACAGAGCAGTTCGGAGGCACAGGTTGAATGAAAATTTGAGCAAATGATTGAAAATCAGAACGATACGATTTCTTTGTATATTTTTGTTGTTCGCCAAAACTTCCTCCAAAAGTCAATACTGCACCTTATAACATCCAAAACTCCGAGCAACAGAATTAACATGATGCTTTAACTATTCTTTCTTTTCGTTTATTTTTGGCTTTCTTTGATTTTTTTTTTTTTTCACTCTACGAGTAACGTAGTGACCCTATGATATATACATTGTACCTCTTTAAAGTTAAACTGGAACAATCATGTCTCGGCTGGTGCCGGAACAGAATCGCCATGCGTTTCCTCTTCTTCCTGCTCTTCAGTATCACCTTCAAGAGGACTTTGATCTACTTGCGTTGTGAAGTTCAGTGGCCCTTGTGGTGTTCCAAAGAGTGCGGTGAATATCTGTCTGTGGCATTCATCACAAAAGTAGATGTAAGTGAAATGGCCCTCGTATGGGAGCTTATGCACTGCAGCTCCTGGTAAAATCCGGTGCACGAAGTCAGTCATCGATGGCGGGACCACCTTATCATCCATCCCCTGTCAAACAGTGGAGAAAATGCCCATGATTAATACTTGATTTAACAGGAAATTTATACATCGGATAAGAAATACTAAAGGCCCCTGTATAATTTTGACCAAAGCCATCCAATGGCCGGAGATTCGTTGTGGTTACAAGGAAACAACTATCACCAGCAATCTGTATACGAATATGTTACGGCATACACTAGTTTCTGAACCTAAGAACAATCTCACATTCTTCTAGTAAAATTCATCTCTTGACGAACTCCAAAAAATTGTCATGTAAACTTTTTGTATTAGCATGAGCGAAAGCACCTCAGTGAGAGCAATCCCTGTCAAATGACTGATCTCATTGCTATCTAGGAGTCTACTCAACATATTACCAGTCTTATATCAAAAATTTCCAAGTCGTTAGCAGTAAAACAATCGAAAAACAAACATGTAAATGACGGAGATGCTTCAGACCTGCCATATGTGTATTGGGCCAAGGAAGCCAATTAATTCCTCCTGAGAGGTGAGCATGGCCTTGAGCCAATTGAGCCAATTGAGCACGCCTTTCCCCTGTTCTTTCTTCTGCAATTTGAGGTCTGCAAGGCTGAAACCCCAATTTGACACTTGTAAAACAGCTTCCTCCACAAAGGGTTTTGCATTTCCCTGCCTAATTGATTCTTCCACATCCCTTTGCCAGAATTCTTCGTAGATTGGGTCTTCCATTAGAGCTTTATCCTGGAGAAATTCAAGATGAAGTTTTGAATAAGAATCCATACAGGTAAGATAATAATCTTACCTTGGCCTTTCGTTTATTCTAAAAGTAACACACTGACAAAATGGGAGCCCAATTTCCAAATTAGAGTGGAATGGAAGCCAAACCTTCTAAAAATTCTCGAAGCATCATATTCCAGGTCTACACAAATTAATTTTAAGACAATTTGGAAAATCAACTAAAGATGATGCTTTGCTACAGGTTTAGGATATACAAATCAAACATGAAACTCTTTCGGCATCGTTAGAAGAGAAGAACTATACAGTCCGATTATGTGTCCATATGCCTAGTTACATATGCAGCTTATGCGTTTATGTGGAAATTAAAATTTAGTTGCCAAATTTGTCGACTTTTCAACAAGTAAACAAAATGATGAACAAAGATCCTCACCCTCTTTCCCAGAGACAGTGACAGCCATCTATCAATTTGTCCATGCTTTCCAGATAAGAAGCTTCTGTGATAGAAGTAAGAAAGAAACCTAGGAAACCTCCTAGCCAAAAAGTACATAAATTTTCTGTTTCGCGTCCACTTCTCCCAGGTTCTGCGCCTCTCTTCCCTATTCATGATTGAGTCATACGGATTAACCATTGGAGCAAACATGGCTGCACCTGCGAGTTAGACCGGTAGGGATCATAAGAAAATGCTTCTGAATAGAATACATTAGAGATCCAAATTTCCGCAAAACATGTTACTCATCCCAGTTACATGAATATTGATTTGATCAAAGACTTGTCATACATTAGAAATTAGCTTTATCCCATATCAGGCTATGATATTATAATGCTTGTTACGAAAATCTAGCAACATCTCACCCACGTAAATGTAGAAATCTTCAGGCTTATATCTTGCATGAAAATCAGAAATTTCAGACTGCATGGCAAAACTCAAGGTCATTGCCAGACTGAATAGCACTCGAGGCTGGCTGCACACATATTCCTCTGTGGCAATGCCACTCGAAATACAGTGACAGCTTCGAATTTGTGCCCATATTCTTCATCGTTGACATACTTGAAATTTTTTACTATGGAAATATCATATAGAAGAGACATTAATACCTGCAAGTCTATCAGGAATGTATCTGAGCGCTGCCCAAGCATGCATACCTCCGCTGGAGTATCCCACAACCCAAAACTTGTCATGCACACCAACAGCATCAGCTAAGAGCAACATATCGATTGCAGAAGATTCAAGGTTTCTGTCGGGGTGAGGATCACTCTCTCCAAAACCAGGAAGATCATATGTCAATAAGCGAACGCCAAACTCTTCCAACAGGGAAGCCTTGAGTCCAGGTATTCCTAATGTTCAAAACAATGACACAAAACTAAGAAATTGCACAATGTGCATTAACAGAGAGGTTATCTGTTTGCTTTCAACATCCAAAATGTGCAACCTGCAAGGCGGGACGAAAGGAAAGAATGTGGAGCAATGATTGAAAACCTAGCTCTGTCAGCCGGAACGCCTTGCTCCTTGTATGCTATGAATCTACCATCTGGAAGCATTACGCGGGCAGCACTCGGAGGATGAATGTAGATCTTCTTTACTTCCGAGGCAGGACTGGAAGGAGTGGTTTCGGTATTCACATACACCACTGGAAATTTGAAAATCCGTGTCAGTAAATGCACATTTATTTTAAAGACCCAATTACAAATTCAAACAAAAAAGGACCCCATGAATCAATC